ATAGGGTTCTCTTATAATCCTTATTATTTCTGGAAAGTTGGCAGTAATTTCCTCACTTTCATTAATTAACTGTCTTTTGTATTTATTTAGGTTGTTCCCTTTATCCACGTGCTTTATTCCTTCATGTGGAGTTCAGCTGCTCTAGTATCCTTTCATTTCATCCTGAAGGACTCTCTTGAACATTTCTCATAGGGCAGGTCACACTCCTTTCAGCAATTAGCCCCTCTGTCCATTTTCTCCATTTCATGTATTTGTTTTCTATAATAGTTTCCAAAAATCTTTGAAGAGGCAAGTAAATAGAGGCCTTCATCTAGTCTGCTGTCACCCAGAGTTGAGAGTATTAGGGAGATTGTTCCAGATGTTGATGACTTTTTACTATTGCTAAAGAGTGTAGGGGTTATTCGGTATTACATTGCTAGGATGTACACAGAATGTTCTACAAACAGTGTTAGAATCTTCTCTTTCCTTTCACCAATTTTTAAAGAGTATGATTTACATCATGCTGCATGCTTGTTTGATTGATGTTGTTGAAAACATTTCATAGGTTTGTACCTTTTTCTACTCATTTGACTGGTGTAAGGGAGCATAGTTCTATGAGGGTTTTTGGAATTTTCAAAACTGGTTGAAGGTTACTTGATAATTAAATATTTCAGATCTGTGAAAAACTCATACCACTTAGCACCGCGTCCTTGATGTGTACAGTCTATGCCCACAACTCTACACATTCATGAGAAGAGTGTCTCATATGACACTTCTTCTAAGGTAAAAAGAGCTAGTCAGGTGCCTGACTGCTGCCCTCTGGCTGGCCCAGCAGAAAGATAATGTTCCAGTGTCTTCTGGCAACTTCCAGCACAACTGTTGTTGAGTTAAGCCCCTTCCTCCCAAAGTGAGGAACCACCTTCCAGGGTGGGTCCATCGAGACTCCAGGAAGACATGTGCCTTCTGCTGAGGAACCTCTGACTTTGTCTTCCTGGGCAGCCTCTGTCAATCTTATAGGATTTGTGTAAGGATCAAATGAGCAAATAGGGGAATAGGCATACCTTGGAGATATTGAAGGTTTGGTCCAGCCCCCTGGAATAAAGCAAATATCACAAGAAAGAAAGTCAAATGAACTTTTTGGTTTCTTAGTGCATATAAAAGTTATGTTTAGGGGCACCTGGGTGGCTCAGTCAGTTAAGTGTCTGCCTTTGGCTTAGGTCATGATCCCAGGGTCCTGGGATAGAGCTCCACATCGGGCTCCCTGCTCTGTGGGGAGCCTGCTTCTCCCTGCCTGCTGCTTCCCCTGCTTGTTTTCTCTCTCTTCATTATCTCTGTCAAATAAGTAAAAATTTTTAAAATTATGTTTACACTATTGTCTATTAGATGTGCAATAGAATTATATGTAAAAAATCAACATATACACCTTAATTTAAAAATAGTTTGACGCTAAAAAAAAGTGCTAAACATCATTTGAGCTTTCAGCCAGTAGCAACCTTTTTGCTGTTGATGACTGATGTTGATGATCAGTGTGGAGGTTGCTGTAGGTGGGCAGGCTATGGCAATTTCTTAAAATAGGACAATGAAGTCTGCCACGTTGAATGCTTCTTCCTTTCTATTCTCTCTCTCTGTAGCATGTGATGCTGTTTGATATAATTTCACCCACAGTAGAACTTCTTTTGAAATTGGAGTCTATCCTCTCAAACCCTGCTGCTGTTTGATCAGCTAAGCTTAAATCATATCTTACATCCTTTTGTGGTCATTTCAACAATCTTCGCAGCCTCTCCACCAGTAGATTCAGTCTCAAGAAACCATGTTCTCTTCTCAGCCACAGAAAGCAACTCCTCATCCATTCAAGTTCTACCATGAGATGAGAGCGAGTGAGTCACACCTTTGGGTTCCACACCTAATTCAATTCTGGTTCTCTTGCTCTTTCCACCACCACCGTTGTGACTTCGTCCGCTAATATGTTGAATCTTCAATTTGTAAAAAGCACAACAAAGTGAAGATAAATAAAACAAGATTGGCCTCTGTTTTTCCAAATTGCTTGTATAGCAATGGCACACACAACATAAGGTATTGCTAATATTATGTTGAATCCAGGCTCTGTTGACCTCAAAGCCCTATAGGAAAAGCAATTAGATGATAAACAACTAGGGGAAAGATTTGTTGGGCTACTTACTACTTGATAGAGAACAGGGCTCTCTGCCCAACTCATTCACCATCACTTATACTAGGTGTTACGTAGAATAATTCTCTTTGGCAAACACTACCCCTTCTGGAATTCATAAGACTGTTTAGGGAACTCTGAGGGAGAGAGGAGCTAGTTGCCAGGAAAGAAAAAAGATCATTAGGGGATACTCTTGCTTTTATCTTTATCTGTGGCAGAACCCTTAATAGTTTTTGAATCTGAATTGTTCCTTCACTTCGTTTGCTTTGCCCTTTGTATTTCTGTGGGTATCCTGGTTTCTAACTCTAATGGGTATTAACTGAGCACCAACTCCCCCTGTGACTAAAGGCTATGCACCCCTCTCTCCCTGAGAAGAGATTCCCTGGTCAGGATAACTTGGTTATCAAGCCATGGCTCTGACAGAAACAGGTCCAGCAGGCCCAGACAGAGGGCTTAGATTTTCAGATGCTTGGCTCATCCCCAGAAGCAGTAACATGGGCTATTGCCTTGGCAAAGGAAGAGTTCTCAGCTTTCAGGTAATTGTGATATTGGCCCCCAGAAAGCCACAAATGATTGACATCAGTAGCACTGAAAATAAGAGAGAAAACTCAGAAACTGTTCATTCATGCAACAGGAGAAAGGCAGGCGGGACCATAATTTATATTCTGGAGTCACCGTGAAGGTAGTTAATTAAAAATCTGGCACAGAATCAAGTTTGAGGAGCGTGGAGAAGCCAACAGGGTTACAGAAGATGAGCTTCCTTCCTTCCCACTTGAATTTGATGCTGCATATTATATTCTGCGACAGGCCTTTGACTTACCTAACACTGGAGCTTTTTACCCAGGTCTCTCTGTACGTTCCAGCTCAAATCACCCTGTGGCACATTTTATATATACATGTATTGTGAACTGTGTCCAAACCACTGTCTTCCCAGCCCCACCACTTACTCCAGCCGCTGTTGCACTGACCAGTTCACACAAGCTTTGACCGTGTTCCCTGACGCGCAACCTGATAGTGCCTCACCCTGGAGGCTGTGATAGATTGCCTCTTGCTTTCTACCCGGAAGGCAGACCCTGCTCAGAACTCACACAGGGGCAACCTGGAAATGTGGGGAGGGGACTCCCGCAGGGCTGCCTTTGATAGGTGGGAAGGGGGGGCCAAAAAATAAATGCCCTCTGTCCATGAGGCAGATCAGATGGTTTTGAGACATATTCCCTAAGGCTCCTCAGAAGCTCTGGCTGGCTCTAACATCCTCACGCTGGGTCTCCCCCTCTCCTTGTTTCCTCCTTAGTCCTGCTCCCTGGAATCCTGTTCCCAAATACACTACCTAGCCACATAGAAGTGCTGGTCTGAGCCCCTGCTTTCAGGGGAACTGAGTCCAAGACACTTGTGTAAGAAGGCTGCTCTGTCTACAGTCACTTACTAGGGTGAAGGGGATGAAATCCAAGCCTTAGGCACTAAGTACCAATCATGGCTAGAATGAGCACAAGCAGACACAGACCAAAGTCAGGTGATGGTACAGCCTGACTCACCAAATGGTGGAAATAAAGGTGGTAGGCAGTTGCTATTACTTAAAAAATCATTTTCTTTATTAAAACAGCTTCATTTCCCAAGGCACTTCAGGAGCTTTCACAAAAATACGGTTTTTATCCAGGAGAGGCTTGTGCTTTAGGAGTACCATGGTAACATAATCGTAGAAGACAGTTACACCAAACACAAAATATCTCTCAAGTGAGCAATGCTGAAAGACTGTGAACACAATTTGACTTTCTTCTTTGTAATTTTTCCCCATGATTAGGTATCACAAAAGGAACACAGACAATGACCGCATTGTTGGCACACAGAGAAGGTGCTAGCGGCGAAGGCTGATAAGGCCTTGCACAAATGGCAACTGCACACCTTTGCCAGAGGGATACTGGGTTGAAAAACACAAAAACACAAACAAAGACACAGATCAGGAGGCTGGGAACTAGCCCTTCCTAAGTCTATTCTGAAGGGCAAATAACTTAATCAGAAAAAGACATAACATCAAACATCAAACAAAACACAAATAAATTCTACCTTACAGTTTTGAGAGAAGAGATGAGTTTGCTTGTCTCTCTTTCTCAGTGATAGACTTCCTTCAAACCACACATCAGAAACCACAGTAGCTAGGAGATGTGATTTACACCGCAGTGGAAAACGAGAAGAGATTTGGTGATGCATCTCGTATGGGCCTGGACAAGCCCAGTGCTTGGATCAGATGTAAACAAGTCTACCCAAGAGTCACACTGAGGGGTACAAGAGCTCACAAATCAATGCACTTGCCCTTGTTCTAAACCTGTTCAGTTCCCTCCAAAGTAATTACTTTTAGACTTCCCCAGATCTGTGCTCTCGTGCCTGGGGAAGCCAACAATCCCAGTTAATGTGGCCTGTGACTAAGAAAGTGTGAGAAATCAAACTCCCTGTGCGATTCTTTCTTTTCCTTTAAAGTGCACCATGAGAGGGAAATGGGGTAAGATTAGGTGGGGAGATGGGACCTCTAGTCTTTCCAGGAGGTCTGGAATTAATATGTAAATTTAGCAGATGCCTCTCCTATTTTTCTAGGTCCCATAGGTCCTGGTGAATAGTTAACTTCTTAGGAAGCACCCATCCATCATCCGGCAAGTCTGCACATTCAGACGTATCTCAAGCTGGTCTGGAGGGAAGGTGGTGTGCCTAGACCACAGGCAGCCCGAGTCCAGCTGTCCAGCCAGGAATAAGTCAGACCCAGGGGTAAGCGGATGAACAGCAAAGATCTCCCCTGCTGAAGGACTCCGTGTCTATACAAGCTGCTTCTGACAAGACACAGTCTTCCCTCCTCACCTCATGTATCGGAGGTTGTGTTATAAGGCTGTGCTTTTAAGGACTGGGGAGTTTTCTTCACCATCTTTTAACATCCTTGTGTGGCCTGGAGTTTGTCTGTATTTTATTCTATAAAAACAAGCAAAACCAATGTTAGTAACAGATCTTTAAAAAGATGTCCACCAGTCTCGGGTCACCTGGGTGGCTCAGTCGTTAAGCATCTGCCTTTGGCTCCGGTCATGATCCCAGGGTCCTGGGATCAGGCCCGCATCGGGCTCCCTGCACAGCAGGAAGCCTACTTCTCCCTTTCCCTCTCCCCCTGCTTGTGTTCCCTCTTTCACTGTCTCTCTCTTTCTGTGCCAAATAAATAAATAAAATCTTAAAAAAAAAAAAAAAAAGATGTCTACCAGTCTCTAAACAGACAAACAAAGCCCAGACCTGAGGTTATCTCACTAAGGGGGAAAAAAGTCTTAGAGCAGATTCTGAAAGGCTTCTCCTGGTCTCTGCTGTCCCAGAGTTGCTATGGTAGTCAAGAGGTACATGGTGACACGGTGGTCTGGGTCAGACCAGACAGGACAGTCAGTAAGCACCTTGTCATTTCTGCCCCTCTGATGGCTAAACTAGTACATGGTGTGTATGAGAGTCTGTGCAGGAATTCTCAGCCAGGCCCGGACCCAGGGCATCAACACTACAACTCAGAGCAACCTTACCCTTTGACCCTTAGCATCTGGTCAATGGTGTCCGGGAGGGGAGTGCCAAAGCTCTCTGGGAGGAACAAGGTGAGAATGGCTGTCAGGATGGTCAGACTCCCCATGAGAATGTAGGGCAGGAAGCGGTCATAGGCACCTACGGCAGAGTAGACAAAACCCCACGCCAGGGATGTGGTCAGACTTGGTCTCCCTCCCTCCCTCCTTCTGTGCTCCCAGGACTCCATAGGGGACCACATCCTCCTCGGCTTCTGCATCTCTCACAGTCCGAGCTGCCAGACTGGCGTCTGGCACCAGAACAGTTCTCAGAACTGAGCCAGCACAGAGGTTCCCAGATGTCCTGCAGCGCCCCACGGTGCAGGGAAAGGGAGCAGACCGGGAGGAGGGGAACTGAGCTGTGATTACTATTCCTATTTCTCAGTGCTGGGTTTCCACAGAACTCCAGGTTCTCATCCAGGGACAGGAATAACTCCTCCACCTCTCCAGATGGGTCACAACTTGCTCGATTTGCCTTGAGGCCTGATAAGGTGTTTCTGCTTGTCAGATCCATGTAATATGTTCACAACACATTCTGGGTACTCTCAAGGTGGCTGCCAATTCACCCCAAAGATATGCTGGCAAGGGCTGTGCCAGGGAACAGCAGTTGCCATGAGGGAACAATTTTAAGGAAGAATAAATCGGTTCCCTGTTACACAGAAATGGCACAAGCCAGGGGTGCCTGGGTGGCTTAGTCGGATAAGCACCTGCCTTCGGCTCAGATCATGATCTTGGGGTCCTGGAATCAAGCTCCATGTTGTGCTCCCTACTTAATTGGGAACCTGCTTCTCCCTCTCCCTCTGCCTGCCACTCTCCCTGCTCTGCACTCTTGCTCTCTCTCAAATAAACAAATAAATAAATATCTTTTTAAAAAAATGGTACAAGGCAGATCTATACACAGTATAAAACCGCTACCCCTGCTTTGCACTCTCACTCTCTCAAATAAATAAATAAATAAAATCTTAAAAAAAAAAAAGGTACAAGGCAGACCTATACACAGTATAAAACTAAACTGCTCCAAATGACAATAATTCTCAGCACATCAGACCTCTTAAATGGCCATCTTTCCCTCTGTGCTCCTTTTATACTTTGATTCCAAGAAGAAATTTCTCCAGTTAAGTACATGGGTTCCTGATACCACCATGCAGTTTCTTAGGATAAAGAAACCGTATCCTCTGATGAAAGGCCTAGGAGGGCTAAAACAGAAAAACTCTGCTTGCTCATCTCACTGATTTCCAGCTAGTCTTTAAGTTGTTTTCCAGGTATCAGTGAATGTGTCCTCCCCAGTATGCCTGGGCACATGTCTTCTGCAGGCACAGGTGCCATCCTGGACGGACCCCACTTGCCGTGGGTGCCGGCTTTGCTGTTAATGACCCCCAATGGCTCACATCAAGGGCCTTCAGTGCTTCCAACCCACCTCCTACGTGCCCTCAGCCCATGGCACTCACCAAGGTAAACGAAGTAGGGAGACAGGATACTGCCCAGGCGAGATGCTGTGGAGCTGACCCCCATGCCCATGTTTCTGACCACGGTGGGGTACAGCTCAGCAGTGTACACATACACCATGGAAAAGGCAGCAGTGACTCCAAACTTGCCCACCATCACCAGGATGGTGGCCAAGTAGTACCAACCTGGAGAGGAAAAGGGAAGAGAGCAGAAGGCACCAACTCATGCTATGTTGCTACAGGGCGTGCCCGAAGCAAACATACTTTCTGCTTTTTGGGATATGGGGGACAGTTTCTCTGATGTGCTACCATGGGATAAGTGAATGTAGCCAAGCTGTCCCTCCCAGCTGATTACTGAGAGGAGGCCGGGACCTGCCACCGTGTGAGGACACACTCTTCTCCTCAGCCTACAGACCACTGAGATGAGCCCCTCAACAGCCCAAGTAAAGTTGCTCCAGGCCACAAGTCACTAAAGATGTTCCAGTCAAGGGGTCAGGTGGCACCCTAGAAGGGCACTCTGCATGCACTGGAATTACTGAAGGACTTGTGGATGATGGGCGTTTCCCTCTACTCAGACCTCAACAATTCAGAGGGCAGCAGACCCCCAGGAATGATCCCCCGAACCACCCTGCTTGCTGTGCCGATGGTGAGACTCTGGCCTGTGGGCTGCCCTGGGCTCTGGGGTGAACCCCTCTGTGTGTACCCTGATGGACTCCCCTGCCAGGCTTCAGGGGACGCTGTTCCTGTGCAGAGTGCTGTGGGGCTCAGGGGCCTGCACATAGAGATCACCAGAGACCCCCAAATCCATACGTACACTGACAACTCTGGGCACCACGATGGAAGACGAGGGTCCACAAAGTGTTCTATAAACTGCAGAAAAGGGCTCCCTCCCACCCATCTGTGGGATACAAGATGGTTTGGAAAAGAAAATCCAGCTAATGGCCTGTGAGACCCGTGCTGTTCCCGGCCCCTCCCTTCACCTCTTCCAGCTCAGCTCCCTCTTCCCCCTCAGGCTCTCTCCTTCTCACTTCATCTATGTTTCTGTTCCACTGCCCCCTCTTCAGGGCCCCTGTCTGTGTTCACTCTATATGAACTAGTTCTCCATTTCCTTTCTTGTTATGATAAAAGGTAACCCGGTCTGTACCATATTAAGCATATTATTTACTTGTCTCTTGTCTTCTCAACTAGAGTGTGAGCTCCAGGCCTGGTGTTCTGCCCGACCTGTTTGCTTCTGCATCATTACTTCATGCCCCAAACACAGTGCCTAGCCCAGAGAGGCACTCCAGAGCCACTCGCTGAATAAATGACTAAGATAGGCCAGGTTAAAAAGCCATGGGTTTGGCTCCCTTTCCTGCCCCTTACTCTTCAGAGAAAAACACGTACGCACTCATTAACTTGGGGCAGAGAGTACCATTAACCACCAGCCCATATGGCTGCTCTCACCACTCCCCAAAAGTCCCGGCCATGGCCAGTGTCTGGTCCCAGGAGACACTTCCTCTTGATTTTTTGGTGAAGGCTGCAGATATGCAAGTGAGCTGCCATATCATGATTTTATTTTCTTTATGAATTGGGGAAGACAGCCCACTAGAGGTGAGTGACTCAGCGAAAACCCCAGACTGCAGATGCACAGTGTCCCTACCTGGGGGCACCAGCTGCACGAAGAGGAGAACGCTGCCACCCAGGAAGAGGGCTGTGGCCATGGAATAGCGTCGGGGCACATGCTGCAGCAGCAGCCAGGCCAGCACATACGCGGGGACTTCAACCACTGCCGAAAGGAAGCAGTTCACATAGATGTCCCCATGCAAGTTCGGAGTGTCGAGGGAGAGCCCGAAATAGCCCACTGATATGGTCATCCTGAAACAGAGTGCAGGGAGAAGCTGGAGAAGCAGCAACCACGTGCCTCCCAACCGGAACTTTTAAAATACAATTATTACAGGAAAGTCAAAACTATCCTTACCAGGAGGAGAGCAGACTTAACCCCAAGTCTTCTTAGAACAGAAAATAATATCCTCCCATCCCCATGCTAACTCTGAGCCAGAGCAGTATCAGGACATTTCAAACAGAAAGTGTCCCAGCAGAAAGGCGTATAGAGTTCAGATAGATTTACTTTCTTAAAAAACAAAACAAAACAAAACACCAAAAACCCAGTAACACCCTCTAACCTGCCTTTTGGCTTTAAAACCCCTAAGCTGAAGTACCTACAAAAGCTACTTCCCTACCCTCTAACCCTCCCCAAATCTAGCAACTGCAGAAGGAGGGAGGGAGTGAGCACAGAGGACGGTATGGAGTGGGGTGTGACAGGACTGGAGGGATCAGATAAAAGGAGGAACAATCATTAGGTCAAATACTGGGAGAAAGACTCCCCAGCAGACCTTCTTTCTGTAGCAACCAGCCAGGATGAGGTTGGATAGAGGCAGCAGACCCCAACCCCACTGTACTCGTGGAGAAGGGGAAGGGCCCCCAGTGGTGGGGCCACATCACCTCTCATCCGCATGCTTCCTGGCATCCCAGGCCTGGACCCCATCTCTAGCAGGCACTCTCTCTGCTGATGATAAGCACTCTTTGGCAAACCAGACCTTTATGGATTAGAGGTTTTTAACTCATCTGTACGTTGAAACCACAGTTGGTGCCATCTGGGGAAAGTGAATGTCCAGGAGTCCCCGGGGAATCCAGGGCTGGAGGAGCACCTGGGTGAACCACAGAACAGATGACTCATCGCAGGTTTGCCAGTCTGCTGGGCTGAATGCTGGTCCCGTCTGAGGCCAACGCAAGGGTGGTGCACTACCCTGAGGGATCCTGGGCCATTCCTTAGAAATGGGTGACTCACAGTAACCCCCTCAGTGAGCCAAAGAGCTGGCTGCCCCAAAGCTAGATGACTCTAGTAATAAGGACTCGGAGATGAAGTCTGCCTTTGGCACCCAGCAGGCTCAGGTATTCTCCTAGAATCCCAAAGATTCTAGCAAATGCTAGAATCCTTGAGCAAATGCTACTGAGGCAGTAGGCTGTGTACCCTCTCTCTGGTAACTCACAAAAGCCCTCCTGACACACTTGGCGAAATGTCTCCTTAGAAGGAGCCATGGCCCTGCCTCCAGGATAGTCTCTGAACATCCCAGAGGGAAGATGTCCTGCTTCCACATTTCCAGACAGTACTCAGCAGTCTCTGTAATGGAAAGGACATAATGGTTTCACTTAGAACCTTCTTAAAGGATCTTCAATCACTGTCTAAAGCACAAGGGACAGAAACAAACTAGGGCCCACAGTGACCAAGGATCTGTCTCATGACCTGGAAGGACTCCCTGAAGACTCCACAGCTTCCCAAAAATCCAACAGATTTCATACTCCTTTTCTGAGATTCCATCAAGCTCAGAATTATGATATGCCCCCTTCTCTCATTGCATGGCAGCTCCTTCCCACTTTTGATGACACAGATCTTCAATTTTGGTCTGAGACACATTTGCCAATGAGAGGCCTGGCAGCCGCTGCCAGATGCTTGGTCTGGAAGCTTCAGGTAGGTCTCACTTACGCACCATAGGATTATGGACATGACAGTGACCATTCGGATATTCCGGGTTCGAAGCAAATCCAGGATGCTGTGGGACTGGTGCTTCTCAGAACTCAGGTCTTGCAGCTGCAGGAACCATATGACAAGGGCATGGGAGGGAGAGGCTGGAGACTCAGGGATCCAATAATAAACCCAAAACCCTAGCACCTTAGCTTTCTGCGTTTCTGAGTTGGCCAGGGTTTTATGTTTCTTTGAAAGAAGAGTAAGTTCGGTGAGTGCACCTTGAGATGAGGAAGGCTTCCCCAGGCCTTGTCAATGACCCATTAGTGAACGAGAATAAGGAGAAAAAGTGGTGACCAGCCCCTCAGCAGAGGCAGCCAAGGCAGAGGCCCAAGCCTCTTGGCCCTACCTCCGGCCTCCATCAGTGACCACATTCCAGGGAGGCCTCTGAGCATTCCTTCCAAAGCCTGGCTCCCTGCCCTCTGGGTCAGAGAGAGAAACTGGCTATGTAGTTTATTGATCTGATATTTTAAAAGAATTAATGTTTTGAGTCCTCATACCATGTAGTTACTGGTCTATTTCCAAGGAAAAAAATTTCAGATAGAAAAACAGGAAAATTGACCTCAGCTTCACCCAGAGTTACTTCCTATGAAATTTGGCACAGCCACAAACAATAAACCACATGTCTAAACACACTGATGTTGCTTTCTTAAGCAAACCCAGCTTTGGAGTTTGTTTTTCTCGAGTTAGCAGTTCAACAAAAGGTCAACTTCTGACTTAATGGATCCCCTGAAATAGCCTCATTTCCTCAACAATGCCAGTGGGGTTCTGGGTTCCCCCAGACAGACCCCCCAATGAAAAGCCACCAAGGCTCCCACACTTAAAAGCCCTCCCTGCCACCTCCTCCTACCCTGATGTCTGAGCTTCGAGCCCCTTCCAGAACATGCTGAGTGGGAGCTGGTGTTGGGCTAGCACTTAACTGTGAGGCCCAAGCCAGCAGCTTCTCTGATGCCCATGGTAGCTGGTCTCCCTCTCCTGAGCCCTGGGTCTGCATCCCAAGTCCCAAGCGTCTCTCACTTGAGTGAACACACTTGAGTACGACCGCTGGTGGCTGTTCTCACAGCCGGTCCCTTATCTTCCCATCAGATCAGAGACACATTCCAGAAGCCCACCAGCCAGCAATTACAACTTCTAACCTCTTGTGGTAGTCATAAGACTAAGAAAAACTGCCTGCTGCAAAGGGTGGAGGGAGAGGGAACAGGAAGGAGAATCAAGACCCAGAATCAGGCAGAGCCAGGAAATTACTCATGGTGCATGAGAACAAGGTTTGCAAGAGGGGTGGGGTAGGGGGAAGGGGCCGATATCAAGGACCTGGCTCCAAGAGGATATGCAGCAACTAAGGACTGGTGTGTGGAAGGAGACCAAACATTTCTAACTCCAAACCTACTTGTGCTTCATATTTTATGTACTATATTTCTTTTAAAATGAGAAACTGTAAGGCATAAGAAGCAATGATTTCCCACAATGCCAACTTCATGAAAGGCCTATTACTCAAAGTGTTACTTAATGGTTTGACTATATGATTGCCCAGAGAAGAATTACAGAGTACGACGACTTAAAACCCATGGGAAAGGTGAAGAGATTTAGACAGCTGGTGCCTTCTCCCCAACTTGTGAATTTTAACAGGGCCTGCTTGGGGGCCGCTGGGGCTCAGGCACGGAGAGGGCTGGGCTCCTGCATGGTGTTTCCCTAAAATCATGGTCACCGAGACCCTCTCACCAGCTCCCTTGCAGGGCTTACCTCACTTGACTCGAAGATAGTTGAGGGTGCAACAATCCCGTTCATTTTGGCAGCCTTGCGGATGATCACCTCTGCCTCTTTAAGTTGTCCCTGAGAGATGAGCCATCGGGGGGACTCAGGGATGAACCTGGAAGTACAAGATGCCATCTCGCTGAGACCATCCTGCCCAACAGACAAGGTGGAACATATGTGGAGGCGGGAAAACGGGCTTTTAGAACCAGACATGCGTTTGGGGAATGTCTGGTGTTTCCAGACCAAGCAGGGATGGTTCACACCATACCCACTAATGATCTAAAGTGTAAGCTTCTGAGTATCCTGGAGTGCATAAAATTTAGAGGGGCCTGCTCCTCTTCAGGCTGGCCACCTCCATTTCTGAAGCGCGGTGGTGCCACCTGCTGGACAGTGAGGAGACAGGCACAAGATGGCCTCCGGAAGCCGGGCTTCTGTGGTGGGTGCAGGCTGGCCCAGCCCCTTGCCCCACTGTACTCTCCCACTTGGCTCCAGCATCCACAGAAGCTTCTGCACTGACCTCTTCGCCTATAGTTTTTCCTCACTCCCCATACTGGATCCACCCAAGTGACTTGTCAGAGCCCCCTACATAAGTTTATCAAAGAACCTGGGACTTTGAGACTTTGTGGATCTTATTTCCTATGTCATTCGATGGCCCCTGCCCTTTGGTCATGACCAGGACCCATGCTATGCTCTATGTTCTCTTCCATTATGCTCTGAAATGCTCTCAGCTCTGAGGGGTGCCGTGATCTCAACAACCGCACCTACAAGGTGCGATTCCCACCTCAGCCTCTCTGCTGTGTTCCCTCTCTGGGTAAGGAGGGCCTCCTCTCTGCTGGCCTAACACCTCTATCTTGGAGGCCTATATGGAGTCTGGCTTCCTCTGTGTGGCCACCCTGAGGACTCTCACTTCCACTGCTCTCCCTCTTCTTCCAGCACCTGTACTGTGAGGCCTCAGGAACATAAGCCAGAACTAGGGCCTAGGCTTCCTGAAGGTCATGCGAGACCCCATCATCTCTCAGCTACTACTTCTTCTTCTCCCTGCACTTCGATCAGCGCAGCACAGGACTGAGAACAAGTCTGTTGATGTCTGGGGATTTCGTCCTGTTTTCTTTTTGGCTCTTCTGAGTATGGAGAAAGCATTCTGAAATGACTTAAAAAGAATTGCTACTTCCGGTCTCTGGGAGCCTTAATAGGGATTTGTGGCTTGCTGCTGCCCCCTAGTGAATGCCGGACAGAAGACATCTGCTGGTGGGCACCACTGGGCACAGGCGACACTCACCACCAGAAAGCCGCACACAGCACCCCAGGCATCGTCAGTGCCAGCAGCAACATCCGCCAGTCTCTGATGAAGTAGGCACACAGCGGCAGCATCATGTAGCCAAATGCATAAAATATGCACACTCCTAATGTGGAGAAGATAATACGAACCGACTTGCCAAGAATTTCTGTTCCTGTGCGAAACAAGGGAGGAAGCATGTTAGTCCTTTCATTTAGGGCATTTCCTTATTCATCTTCTCTTGTATAATTCTCAACATACAGGAAAGAGAGCAGCCACGCCCTAGGGAGGGATGGGATTCTGAACCTGCTGCAGTTTGACCACCTGCTGGGGTGCCCCCACCCCCACTGCCACCGTGACCTCTTAGGCTTCCCAGGAACAGTTCTGCCTTGCAAATTTCATCACTTCCCCATGCCATGTGCTAAAGATGCCACGTGAGGCCTCAACGTGTAATCCTCGCATGAGGAAGAATTTATGAAAGGGGAAGTCATCATGAAGGACACACATGCGGATTCAAGGAAGTATTTTTTTTTTAAAAAAGCCTGTTCTACTGAATGTGAAGAGAAAGAAACAATCCTTTCAACATACAACCCAAGGAATCCAAAGATCAATAAACTAGAGTTAGATTCCTCCAGAGAGTGAGACTGGTGACTCTTCAGTGAGAACAAGCCAAAGCTCCACAGTATGTACTCGGGCTTAAAACTCTGAAGGTCTTGAAACTCAAGTGGATTCACATCAATTCGTTCTTGTCAGTCAGTTTCTCTGGACACAATGCTATGCAGAAGAGGCAGCCTTCTTTCTTGGCGGGCCTGCCATTCGTGGCCCTTGCTCCTCATATCATGTCTCTTAGCTTTCCTCAGCAACCTCAGATCTGGGAAGGTCCCATTTTTCCACAGATGATCTTGGGTGAATTCTAGTAAAATGGCTATGGAATACTAAGGGGACCAAGGTACACATCTCCAAGACCGGAAAAGATCTGGAACTCAGCATTTAGGCTGTTGTGCTCCTGAGGACTCAAGACTGGGCAAACTGAGTTCACCACACAGCGCTGGCTAGAGACCACTTCCCTTTGAGGGGCACCACAGCTGTCTCTAGAGAGTGGGTGGTGGAGTGACAGTGAAACACAGGATCAAGTACTCCACTCCAACTTGATGGTCATACCCAGGACAAATGCTGCCACGTAGTTGGAGATCTGGCCCATGCCCACAAAGATAAATAGCACAGCAAACATCTCAAAGTTCTTTGAGAAGATCTGCAGGAAGCTGAAGCCCGTCTGCATGCCCATGGTCACAAAGAGCACGTTCTTCCGACCAAACCTGGAGAGGAAAAGACAGTAACAGAGATCCAGCTGGGAGAAGGCGGCAGAAGTGGGCCCACCAAGAGGGACTTTCCCCAGAGCCATTCAGGGAGGAGTCACAGATGAGGCTGCCAGGGTACAGGGCACGGACAGTCCCCGTCTCTGGTCCCAGGGCTCTTACTCACCCCTCTCCCCCAGGCACCAGGACTGCCCTCAAGGCAGTGCCAGAATTATGATAATGATAGCAAGAAATCAAAATGCATTCACTATGCTTAAATCCATACATTCATATGGCTTTAAAAAAAAAAAAAAGAACTGATTTACTTTGGAGGATGATAGAGAAACAAGTCATTTTATTTTTTTTTATTTTTATTTTTTTAAAGATTTTATTTATTTATTTATTTATTTATTTGTTTATTTGACAGAGAGAGAGATCACAAGTAGGCAGAGAGACAGAGAGGGGAAGGGAAGCAGGCTCCCCGCTGAGCAGAGAGGCCGATGCGGGACTCGATCCCAGGACTCCGGGACCATGACCTGAGCTGAAGGCAGAGGCCCAACCCGCTGAGCCACCCAGGCGCCCCGAAACAAGTCATTTTAAATGAAGACTGGCAAACAGGGGGAAAGAAACACTTGTCCTGAAATTACTATAAAGTAAATGAATAGGAACCAATAACAGATGAGAGAAATATCATTTTATAAAAGTATTCCAACTATTAAATGAAAAAGAAATGATAAAATTAGAGTATCACCATTTTATATTCCTCAACAAATGGGTATTATGATGGGGCATTGTGTTTCATTAACAACTAACAGTCTTTTCCTGAAGAAATAACTGAATTAGCATGATTCCTAGTCTCGCTCAAGGGTATGAGCCTGGATCTGATGATCCAGTCTCCAGATCCACCACCAATTTGCAGAAAACGCCAAGAAAGGAGGAGTGTGCTGAGCTGCACATGAGAATGCAATCAGCAAAATGCAGGCTGGAAATTTCTATAGTGGAACAGCCCTGAGTGCAAAAGATAAAACATCTGGCAAAGAAAAGGATGGAGGGAGAATCCCTTAATCAATCCTGCAAAAACTTATCAAAAATTTTTAAGTGGACAAGACTAAACTTGTGTTTAAGGATACTCATCTGGCTGATAAAGCTGCAAAAACTCCACAAGGAAGGGATTACTGTAATAGCCACGCTGGTGGTTACTTATGGGGGGGGCAGTGGTTCCTGGGATGGGACAGGTGCACGGGAGGTTCTCTGATGGTCAGCCAGGTCCTATTTCTTGACTTGATGGTAGTTACAAGGTTATTTACCTGGAATAATTCATCAACCCACACATTTTTTTCTGCATGGTTTTCTGTATGTGTGTTCATTAAAAAAATTTTTTTTAAAATGTTGGTTTTTTGTGGGTTTGATCTGTTTTAAAGACAGTGTCATAGTTAGGGAGGAACAAGTCAACGTCCTTCATTCAACCTAGCAGGTTCCACCTGACTCTGGCCAGAAACCCATTTCATTCAAAGAATATATATTTGAACGTCAATTATATACTAGGTGCTAGGGACACAGGTGAATTATAAAACACAGACCAAAACTCTTGTTTCTACCCTCAAGGGGCTTGTGGCCTACAGGTGGTAAGACAGACAGGAATCATAGTCTCATCAAACAACTCATACTATCGAACATGCAATTACACAATGACACAAGTATGCTGAAGGACCAGCACCCAGGTTCACGAGAGACACAACCAAGGACCACACCCTGGCCTGGGAATAGGGGCTGGGGATGTGGGGATTCAGAGAAGTTCTCCCTGATGACAGGACACCGAGATGAGGCCCAAAGAAGAAGTTATTATTGATGAGGGGGAGTAGACGATAGGGACCAAGCTTTTGATGATATTCACTGTATAGTGGAGGGGACCAACATTAAATATGATTAACACCTCTTATTTACCAATTTCTGACGGGTGCTATGAAGAAAAGGCACAAGGAAGCAGGGTAATATAAATTGGGGACCCTGAGTTAGGCTTGATGGTCAAGGAAGGTCATGGGGGTGACTGGGGAATGTTGAGAAGAGCACACACAGGCGTGGCTGGAGGGGGGCACAAAGACATGAGCAGACAGCAGCTGGTGGGCCTGGCGTCAGCTGTTCAACAGAAGACCACAGGGGTTGGCTGGGGACCATGCTGCAAAACCCTTATTGCAACGTTAAAGAGTCTGGCACTTCTCTCCACTGAAGCGGGTTTTTTGGTTGTTTTTTTGTGCTACTGGCATCTAGCAGGTAGAGGCCAGAGATATTCTAAACATCCTAAAATGCCCAGGATAGTGTCCCAACACACAGAATTCTCTGGCTCAAAATGTCAATAGTGCCAAGGTTGAGAAACCCTGTCTAGAAGGAGACTAAGTCCCCCTGCATGATTCTATAACAAGAGCATGAAACATGACAACCAAGGGAAGGTCCCATCCTACAGGGAGACAGGTGTGACCTCTACCCATGGCTTCCCCTCCCATGGGCTCCCTGGGATGGATGGTAGGGAAGAGAAAGACCCAGCGAATCCTTACATAGCACCAGTCCTCAGCAACCAGTCTGGGGTTGGGCTCAGATTTAAAGTTTGTCAACAAGACGTCGTCCACAAACGTGCTTACAAAAACAGTAAGCATTAGTCTACCTCTTCCCAGGGCTATGCCCCTCTTGTAATTCATGCACACAAAGGTAACTCAAGAAGGTCAGATACAGGGGCGCCTGGGTGGCTCAGAGGGTTAAGCCTCTGCCTTCGGCTCGGGTCATGATGTCAGGGTCCTGGGATCGAGCCCCGCATCGGGCTCTCTGCTCAGCGGGGAGCCTGTTTCCCCCCCACCCCTGCCAGCCTCTCTGCCTACTTGTAATCTCTGTCTGTCAAATAAATAAATAAATAAAATCTTTAAAAAACAAAGCAAAACGTGGTGACCACCCAGGATTATTTTCATTGCTCTTGAATTTCAGGCTTACTGATCTTTGCCCTAAAGGAAAAGTGTGGCTATCCCAGACAAGTTGAGGCATGAATCTACTGCTCTGAGGTCATTTGTTTGGCCTAGGTTTTTGAGCCAGCTTACTTAGAAGTAATGAGATCGGAAACTGTCTATCCCAGAGTCTGGCATCTTCCATGGGGATGTCGCCGTTTGTAGGGTGATGCTGGGAGCTGAAGGGAGGGCCCCAGTCAGAACAGCCACACTTTTAGCTACTTCATCTACTCGACTTAGATGCCCTTAAAAGAAATCTGCTGATGAGATTCTAGAGGGTTTGTAAAACACTGTTACTTGCCCTTCAGAGGACTAAGGTGGTCCTCAACATACTCACTAGTTTTGCTTCTACTGTTTCAAATGCTCCTTCCTCTCTCCACTCCTTTATAGCTGCCTGATTTCTATTCCTCTTTCCACTCCCAGGGCATGCTTCACCTTCTCAGGGCAGCCTCTCCGGGCCTCCTCCATCAGACCCTCTCTTAGCATCCTGTACTTCTCTGTATCATTTACACCATGAAGGACAAGTATACCCCTCAATTAATTGTTTAATACATTCTGCCTTGCTAGAAGGCAAGTTCTAGAAGAGCATGGCCCGAGAACAGGAGGTCAAGATTCTTTGGGCCCAAATCCTAGCTCTGCCACCTGCTGGTTTTGGGACTGTGCAAGTCATTTAACTCCATTGGGTTTCATTTTCCCCACCTGTAAAATGAGAGTAATAATAATTCCTACTTCAAAGGGTTATGATGGGATTATTTGCTTTTCTTTCATTTAAATTTGTATAGTGCTTCTAAGAGTGGCTGGCACATATTAGGTGCTGTGCGTTTGTTAGATAAATATAATCAACTGATACTTGCTGCTAGATTAAGGATCTCAGGAAGCAAAGATCTTTCCCCTGAAAGGGCACATGGCTCAGGCCTCTCTAGAATTGTCAATAAGTGGTCGTGGCCTACTTGACTCTTTAATGCTCACTGGAGATTGCAAGAATTTGTCCCTTTTCTAATGGCTAGATGACACTTGGGAAACATAAATCTAGTGAGAAATGCACATATTTCTCATGAGGAATGAATTCTCAGGTAAAGACAACAATCTATAGAGGTAAACATGCCGGGATATCACCTGAGTTTGTGCTCTGGGATAATATAACTTTGCTCTTAAAGTAGGATGACATTCTCATCCTGAACTTCTCTATTAGAACCCAACCAGCTAGGAGGATACTGGGACTCCACTGGATGAGCCAGGACGGCCAAGGACCTTAGTGAAGGCTACTCTTCTCGCCGTGGGCTTCTCCAATAGCCCCTGAAGCCCTGGGGTAGAAAGATACCACATAATGGACCCCTCTGAGAACTTCAGGGAAACTGTGGACCTTTCTCCAGGAAAAATGTTCATATAGAATCTCTAAAATTTTGCACATAATTTCAAGAGTAGATGAACTCCTTAAGCCATAAATGGAATTTGAGGTAAAAGCCTTGGAATTATATAAATAACATGCTTATGGGTCAAAACAGTACATGTCCTGGGGCGCCTGGGTGGCTCAGCGGGTTAAAGCCTCTGCCTTCAGCTCAAGTCATGATCCCAGGATCCTGGGATCGAGCCCCGCATTGGGCTCTCTGCTCAGCAGGGAGCCTGCTTCCTCCTCTCTCTCTCTCTGCCTACCTCTCTGCCTACTTGTGATCTCTGTCTGTCAAATAAATAAAATCTAACAACAACAACAACAACAAAAAACCAAAAACACAAAACAGTACATGTCTTGCTTGCTGTCAAGTAGGTGCTAAAAGCCATAAGCTAAGGGGCATCAGCCCTGTGAACACAAGAGTTCTGCCTATTACAGCACTACTGGCCAGTGAGCTCTCCTCTCATCACACAGAGAGAATGACAGTCTGGGGAATACAGAGGTGGCCATTCACGGGACGCCTTAGGATCGTCAACAAAGTTCACCTGCATGTGTATGTGGTGACTACCTCTCCCACGCTCGGAGACATGAAAGAGTCACCTAGGGAAGGCCAGCCAGGCTGGTTGGTACAAGCAGTGAATCATGGCATATTTCCTGAACTACTTGATTATGTATACACTTAGCTCAGATTGTTCTGCTCAGGAAGAATGAGGGAGAAGAGGTTGTTGGCTCTCTTTGCTTGGCATGGAGTCTATAATACAGACAGAGCTTCCTCTCCTTTTACAAAACACAGTGCCCTGGGCTGAGAGAACACCACCATCTGAAGTCAAGGGCCAGGCACATACATGCTCCTCGTCTGGTGCCGTGGTCCCTGCAGCTGCAGCAGACAGACACCCACCTTACCTGTCTGAGAGCTGCCCCGAAATGAAGGAGCCCACCAGCACACCCACGTAAAACAAGGAGGCTATGAGCGGGGCCTTCCAGTCGTCCTCACACACCAGGTTCCACTGTAAGGGGAGTAAAGAGATGTATCACTCACTTCTTTTGTTAAATGTTTTACATTTATGGCCCCTTGGAAAATGAAATGAGAATATCCTCTACCCCTGCAGGCTCTGTTTGCATTACTGCACCAGTACCTGAGCTCTTGCAGGCAGGCAAAGGCTTCTGTGGACAGCAAAGCAGAGAAGCTCCTCCCTCACATGGAGAGTGGGCCCCCTCCCACCCTGATTTTCATAGTTTTCATCTCCATTGTTTTGCTACTAATCAGAGGAGGAAGGGGAGGGAGGGAGCAAGTACAGTGCTCATCTGTCAACCCAGGAGAAGGTGAGGCCTTTCATGGTTACTTCTGAGAACCTGGAAGGGGGGGAGGTGGGGAGCCCAGGGCTGTGGATGGGGCAGGGTACCCTTTCAGTGGGCTTCAGGTCACGGACTGGAATGGCACAGGAGTGGTTCTACAGCGGGGCTCTGGGGCTATAAGAGTCCAAGCACCCAGCAAGGGACTAGGGCCAGAGGGCCTGGGACATACCACCCGGATCTGTTCTTGCAGTTCTGTTCAGGTGCCACTCTGAGCCAATAAGCCCTGGGACACTCAGGTGACATTTACAGCTGGGATCCCTCACGCTGCGCCCACAACACTAGGCCCAGTTACAGCCAAGAGCTCTGAACTGGGAGTCAAGAAACTGGGTTTAGCTTCCACTCCCCTGTTTATTGGTTATCGAATGTCAGACAAGATGTCCCCCCACTACCATTTTGCCTTTTTCCCCCGAGTATGAAATAGGGATCGGGGCATGAAGAGACTGCACTGCTCGAGTTTCCCAGCTCATAATGGGCAGTTCCATCTACAGTTCCCACGAAAAGAGGCCTGCAGGCAGAGGGAAGCAGCTGAACATTCAGATGCTGGGTCGCCCCAGCCTAACAAGGAGCCGAAAAAAGGGAAAAGCCAAAACAAGAACGTTGGTGATTCCCAGCAAAATGTTTCCCAGAGCAGAGAGATGGTGTTCAGTAATCACCAAGAACGCTGCCCTCCAGAGAATTCAGACCCTGGCCCGCCTGGTGCCAGGCTGCTGGCCTTCACTCGGTGCAGCCCGCTGGCTCCCCAGTCACAGAGGCAAGGGGCAGGTACAGCTTCCAAGAGAGCATTTCTTCCAGACCAGGGACAGAGGAAAAACAATTCTGCTTCCCTGCTGGGCAGTGTGTGCCCAAAGCCTCTGGGCACCTCAGAGGGGTAGGAAGCAGTCCCCAGGGTGGACACAAAGAACCCCTGTAGCTAATGGTAAGGATCACTTAGCCACACAGCCGGCTCTTCACTCTGGAATAAAAGTTGGGTGGGCTGAGATCTCAAGGAAGAGGCAGAGATCTCAAACTCAAATCTAAAGAAAATTCAGATTAGCAGGAGGCAAAAGTATTGGATCATCAATACCTGAGTGCTCAGTATATAGCGGCCCTCCCACCTCTGCAACCTCGGGGGTGCTAGCACCCAGACACCAACTGCCTTCTTGAAGGGTGAGTGCTGCTGGGGCAGCCCCCATACAGACATGGATGCTACAGTCAGGATGGGCTGGGCGCCTGCGTGGCTCAGGCAGTGAAGCAGCTGCCTTGGGCTCAGGTCATAATCCCAGGGGCCTGGGATGGAGCCCCGCATCCAGCTCCCTGCTCAGCGGCAGGAAGCCTGCTTCTCCCTCTGCCTGCCGCTCCCCCTGCTTGTGCGTTCTCTTTCTCTGACAAATGAATAAATGAAATCATAACTAAATAAATACAGTTGGGATGGGAGCGGCCAGGGAGTCAGATCTGGGGGACATGGTGTTGGTGTACTGGCATCCGGGTGTAAGGTAGGGTGTTAGACAAAGCTCCAGGGGCCAGATTACAGCTACCGCTGCTCCTATGACGGGATCCATTTCCAGCCAGCACACATTAACTTTTGTAGCAACAGAGATGAAAAACTGCAGAAAGGGTCAGGAGCTGCTTCTCATCAGGACTCTTACAAGGGCTGGAGGCTCATATAGCTGAGCCAGACTACAAACCCAGAGGCTCTTCTACAGCCCCCTCCCCTGACAATGTGAGGTCCCCCAGGACGGGCTGGTAGGGAATTCTGGGCTGACAAGGCCAGGTGCTACCCCAAACCAGGTCAGACTATACTCTGCAGCAGATAAGGCATCTTGGGGTAGGTTCCCGAGCATCTCTCCAGGGCCCGTAGCCTCATCCCTGTCACTGGGTCCAGCCTGTTCTTGCTCTGGGCAAACATGTAACCCCCTGGAGTAACTGGTCCCTCCACCCACCACCGACAATTTTTTTGTTTGTTTGTTTATTTATTCTTGAGGCAGGGAGGGGCAGAGGGAGAGGGAAAGAGTGAATCGTAAGCAGGCTCCTTGCCAGTGGAGCCCAATGTGGAGCCCAGTGTGGGGCTCAATCTCACGACCCTGAGATCATGACCTGAGCAGAAATCAAGAGTCGGAAGCTTAACCAACCAGTGCCACCCAGGCACCCCCACCACTGATGATTCTTAACAATCCTCGGGACCTGGTTTTGGGCCCTCCAAAAGCCAAGATGAGTTAACACTTCCTGCCCACTGGCCACAGGGAGCCTATGGGTAGGGCCAGGAGAGATAACAGGTCTCAAAATATGAACACAAGGGCACGCACAGACCAGATCCTACCCAGCCAAGCCCATTCACTTACCTGTCAACCACCTAATGAATTGCAGTGGAGCTAGGACTTGGCTTGCACCCTCCTTAGGTGGGTAGGATGAGAAGCCCACGCAGTCCAAGCTATGCACCCAAGGCTTGTTGCGTTTGCAAAGGAATCTAGCATTCCTCTACTGAGGTCCTGGCTCCCCAGTTGGGACTAAAGCAGCTACAGACTAGCTCACTGATGCTTCTACTTGCTGTGTGGGATGGGCTGGACTGGCTGATGATAACAAGTCTCAGAATTAGAACTAAATGTGTGGGTTTTGGATTCAGGTCATGAGTCTAGCACTGGGACCCCTCAGCTGGGTGAGCTGTGAGAGTGGGCACAACCTGCAAGAAATCTGGGAGCCACTCTGGCAAGGGGCCTAGACTTGCCATCCTTCCTAGTCAGAAGTGTGCCTCTCTAGTGGTGATGATTTCATGGATCTCTCTCTCAAATATTTTCAAATTGTACACTTTACTTATGTGCCACTTATGTCAGTTACACTTCAATAAAGCTGTTAACACAATTTTACGAAGAGAGAGAATTATGTCTCTTGTACACACCATATAATTAGAACTCCTTCTCAGTTATGAGATATACAGAGATGATGTAGTCCCTGAGAACTAAATGTTCTTACTTGTGAATTGGCTGGAAGGGAAATAAGATAGGGTCTGTGCCCATAGAGCACAAGCTCTTTGCTGAGATGTACCCGACCTAAGCGCATCAATGGTCAAACACCCTGCTAAGCACCTGTAACTGAATGCCATGTATTCCTACCCACATTTTGTCCTGCCTCTTGCTGCAGTTAAAGGCAGATCCTTGCCCCAAGGTTGTCAGGGCAAGGAGACAAAGAATTTGCTGCTATATCCTCTATAATGCCTGGCAGTGCCCTGCAGAGGAAAGGCTGTTTGGTACATAGGTGAGTGAGGGAAGGGATGAAAAAAAGGGCTGTTAACTTTCAACACCAAAGGGCTTGGACATTAGGCTTGGCTGCTCAAAACCCAGATGAACCCTGAACTTCAATCTCTAGAATAGATTTTATTTATTTATTTTTTTGCTCTTTCAACCTCTTCTGTGTCACCTCTAAGAACTTTGACCCAGGGTGTTGGTTCTCAGCTAGCTAGACTAGAGCTACATCTGACCATTCATGGTCAGATGTGTCTGTTATGACTCTGTGTGCACAGGGGCCCCAGGGACCCTGCAAGTGACATTTCTGTCTTGCCCTGAGCTCCAAAGGCAAGGCTAAGATCTGCATTTCCTTTAAATGAGACAGTCAGCAAAGACTTAACAGTGGGGCACACATTCCAGGTATTTCCGCAAGGAGTCAGCCCAGCCCTGCCTCCCAGGTTGATGTGGCTTTTCCTTCAGGAGGGCTTGTAATAATAGCTGGGGCTCTCCTATCTTCCAAGATTATCAGTACATGAGATAAGACCGACAGAAAAGACAGTCCAGAGAAAGAGGCTTTTCAGACAAGGAGTAAGTAAGACTATTGCTATGGGCTGGGGGAGAGGGCTTCAGGGAAGTACAGAAAGGACAGAAGAAAAGGGACACAGACAACTGCCAGGTCTTAGATGAAGGGACCCTAACTCATGGGTGCCAGAAGAACTCTAAGTTTTTAAAAGACTCTTTCTGGCTACAAGTTGGGCTAGGGAGACACCTAAAAGCAGGCAGCCCAGCCAGCCTAAGAAATCACCCAGGTTTCAGAGCAGGGGGCAGTCCTGGGCCAAGAAGCACTCAGGGATTGGAGCAGCCCTGCCGGGTGGAATGGCTGATTCTCCAAGTACTCCATGCATGAATGACGGGCCGGGGAAGGGGCCAGCCTAGAAGCACGACCACCAAACTATTCCCAAAACATTCCCTTTCACCTCACAGTGTCGCCTCTTCTCCACCAATCCCAATAACTTGTGCAGATCCATAGAGGGGCAAGCCACAGTTTGAGGGCTGGGCAATTATATTTTCTTTTAAAATATTTCAGTCAATGCTTTTTGACCAGCCCCAAGTTTCCCTTCTACGAAATAAACTGTCCTTTCCTTCTTTAGCTCTTAAACTGTAGACAATTTTTCTTAAATTTCTCATTAATATATTCAACAAAAATTTCCCTGGGTATCCCTGTCTGTATCCAGCATGATGTCAGGGAGACGCCAAGATGTAAAACTACCACAGAGTTTAGTACTACACATATATACTTAAACAAATTAAAAAAAAAAAATCAAACAGAAGACCTACAGTTTTCATCTTCTGTTGAAAAACAAAGAAGAATTTAATACCAATGTACTTATAAACACCTCTACTTGTGATCTGGGGCAGAGGGCAAGCTTGAAACATTTAGCACACACAGGACTAGCTGCAGTGATCCTCAAGCCAGTTCTGGGTTGAAAGAAAATCAGAATGTTAATGCAGTAACTTCCGAGGGTGGCTGTTCACCTGGGAGGAACAGGCAGCCTCGGACTTAAGAGTCAGGCATTCCAGCATTCCAAAACAAAAGGCTAAGTAATGTATTAAGCTTGCCTTCCTGCAAAGGCTTACAACCTATAAGTAGGTAAAAGGGCACACAGCTCTTATGAAACTGCTAAGACAGCTAAATAAATAGGCTAAATACAAAAAAGGAAAGACTGACATTAGCAGCAAAGTAGCCGCTGCTCAAGGACCCTTCCATTAGAGCTGACCTCTGGGAGCTCAGTAGTGCCAACACCAGCCTCAGCCCAAGACAGAATAGGGGCGGTGAAGCAAGAACAAAATGAGTAGAGTAAGCTGAGGGAACCTAAAAGACAGGGTAAAATCCAAAAACATGGCAGCAGCTTCTTCTGACTTCAATGCCTTCCCCTTCCATGGGCAGCCAGAAGCAGAATTTGTAGGGACTCCTGTGTTGCGAAATATGACTTCTTGGAGGCCTCTGCCAGCAACCTGAGGGACAGCCTCTGTTTCCACAACCCTCATTGGCTTCCAGGAGTGTGAGAAACTTGCTTGTGAGGCATAACAACGCCTCAGGACACTGGAATGATGTCACTAGCTGAGAGATCCCAGTGGGACTCAGATCACATTCCCACTACATATTTGGGGGAGTTAAGGAGGCACAGATGCTGAGGACATCAAACGTCGAAACATACTGACATAGAGAGAGCGAGCGCACTTGTGCAAGCGTGTATATGCACACATGTGTCTCGGAGCAGTGATCAGGTTCCTCTGAAGGGTGACACCCCCAGAAGAAACATAAGAGGGGGCCTCACAACCCCTGTAAGACCTTTGAGTCTCCCGGAGGGTTTGAGGCCATACCAGGACCTGTGCACCTTCCTCATTAGCCCTTTCCCTGTGAACTCTTCTAGGTTGTTGCCTGCTGTTTCCATCTTGACATCTGAAGAGCTGAACACCCCAGACTCAAGAGAGGCTGCCACTTCCAGGAAGCTTTCCCAGTCTGTGAATCTCTGATCCTGAACTCAGAGAAACTGCTGTCTGTTGAGGACTCTTTGCACTGTTCTGCTAGCTCACTTCTGCTTAGACTCCACAGAGTTAGAGTTCCAGCATCTGGGTAAGACGCAAAGCACATGTACACCAGCCATACATGTAGTCTAATGGCTGCAGGGTCACCAGGGGACAGACAAAGCCACCCAAAAAGGAAAATTCAAGGGGTTGGGGAATGAGAATTTCCCACCCCCCACACACAATTCCTACCAAAAAACTGTATGCTTTAAGTCAATCTAACCAACGACACTACCTTCAAATACTCCAAAACACCCCAGACCAACAAGTCACCCCAAATGGATCTTCAGATGCATAAAATTCTGATAAACTAATCCAAAGCACAAGGTAAACAATTCCTGATAGGGTATGACCAGACTATCATTTTCGGGTGAGGGTGGGTGAGGAAAGTAACTGGAGAAGGGAGGCCGTGACAATTTTATACACATGCTTCTTTTAGCTTTAAAAGTTCTTCAAGAAAGAAGAAGGGTGTTTTTCTTTCTCTCTCTGAACGGATGCCAAAAGACCAGAGGAAAAACTGTGACAGCCCGTGGCCCAAGCTCTGGCTCTGCTCCATTCAACACTTCCACCTCCATCTAGAAAAAGTCTTTGATTATTCAGGGTCTTAGAGTATCTACCAGGGGCTACCATGGCCTTCTTGGCTCCCTCTTCGAGGTGGCCATCAAGACTGGTGGCCAGCAGGACACCCGTGCTATGAGGGGCACGGTCTGGTTAGAAGTCACTTCGCTAAGTGGTGCCTGGAGGATGCCCACTTGGAGGTGTGTAACGTGTTGGGGGACAGAAGGACAGCATCCAGAACGCACCATGTGGGGTGGAGTGTGAAGGTTCTCCCCACGTTCCGGTCCCCGGCCTCGGCGCGAGGACTGATACTCACCTCGGTCACGATGGTGGACAGGTAGACGTCCTGGCTGAACTCCCAGCCATCCACGCAGCTCTCCTGCTCCAGCTGCTCCAGGTCCACATCGCGCCCCGGCTCCAGCCCGAGCGCCGAGAAGTTGGCGATCGCCGCCAGCCGGTAGCGCCGGCAGCTGTGAGGCACCTCGCGGCCGTCCAGCAGCCGCAGTGGGATACTGTGGTTGCGCCACGCGCGGCTCAGGTTCGCGGTGTCCGGCACCCGGCAGCGGTGCTCCGGAGCGGCGGCCAGGAACACGACAGACATTCCATTGAAGCCGTTGGGGATGATGCTGGCGCTGAGCAGGAAGAAGATGAGGCGCTGGAAGGGCCCCCACTCGCCCAGGAAGGTGGTCACCTCGTCGTAGTCCCGCATGCCGCCGTACGCTGCCCGGGGTCGAAGGACGCGGCGCCGCTCGGGGCGGGGACAGAGGCGGGGCGTGCGCGCGCGCGCCGGGCCTTCGGTACGAGACCGAACGCAGGACCGGCCGAAAGACCGCTCTCCTTTAGATCCAGCTGGGGAGCTCCCGCGGCCCCAAACACCCGCCTTACCTAGAGCTGAAGGCCGGGGCGGGCTCTGAGACTGGGCTGTGCGGCTCGGACGGGGGGGCGGGGCTGGGGCTGTGCGTGACGGCGGAGGGGCGGGCCCGGGCCGCCGCGCGGACTTGGGTCTCGTGCTGGGCAGCGACCGAATGGGTCTGGCTGGCTGTGGCGTATCCCCTCCAGCTTGCAGGCCAGGTAACCCTGGCTTGGCAAAGGAAGGCAGTAAGGGTCGAAGCCCCGGCGTCCGAGGCCTAGGTCGCTGGCCCAGCACCGAGCCAGAGGAGGGATGTGTAGACGAGCAGGGTGCGAGGCTCAAGTATTAAAAATACTGCCTCCTCCACCCCCGCCAACTTTTTATTGAGGGACTGTGACTAGCCCAGAGTCTTCACTGCCAGGTAGCTGCCCTTGACACCGCCCATCCATGTGAGAGTGGCAGGGCTTATTTTGAAACCGGAACCGTTAAGTACCCTGATCGGGAGGCTGGAAGCATTGCCTTTTAATTCTAATCCAAATGCCCTTTCTATACTTTGGTCTGCGACATATCCCCTTCGTTGGCCTTTAACTTGTTAAAACAAATGTAAAAATTTAACTTTGAGCATATTGTCGATCCCAGTCTAGGATTAAATGTTCAGATTAGGCATTTCTGCACAGTTAACTCAGTCGGTAGAACAAAAACAAAACAAAAAACCAGATAATTCTAAAGCCTCACTGTCTGATAGAACACATTTGTAATTTAATTTTTCTAGTAGTCATATTAAAAAAGTTACCAGATTTAGCAAATAAAAATATAAAAATACAAAAACCCAGTTAAAATGTGAATTTCAGTTAAACAAGGAATAATTTCATAATATTAATATATGAGCAGGGACATAGGAAATTCAGATGTAACTGGGTGTTCTGTATTTTTATCTGGCAACCCTGCATATTAAAAGTAAACAGGAATGGATGAAATAAATGTTAAGATACTTAATCCAGTATATCCAACCTTACCATTTCATCATGTAATCAATATAGAAATTATTGAGATAGTTTACAGTCTTACATCCTTTTCATTTACACTAATCTTAAGAATCCACCTTGTATTTTACAGCACATTTCAGTTTGTATTAACCACATTTTAAGTGCTCTGTAGCCACATGTAACTTTAGTGGCTATTTAGTGGCCATTATTGGACAACACTATTCTAAAGCCTTTAAGAATGAGGGCTGTAAATTTAGCATTGCAGCATATTCCTTTTTGTAATTACAGTGGCTTAGTGATGGAGAACTAAATGTACATTTTTAAATGTGATCTATTAGATAAACACTAGTTAATAGTGATTATATTCTAAATTGAAAATAAAAATAAAGAAGAGCAAGCCAGCATGTTTTATGCAGGGAAATATAAAAATTTCCTTAAAGCATAATAGAATTTTAAAAAAATGAAGATTAAAATGTTAACACAGGTATTAGTCATTTTGTTTATACTTACTGTTCAATATTCCTGCCCTCAGAAGATGGCTGACTTTGGCTTCAGAAATACACTTAATCCTTTCTAACATCTTATCTCAAGTAACAGTCCTTTTCTGGACCTAACAAAAAAGGAAAACCAAGCGTCTTGAAAATAAACTTGTTTCTTGTATCAATTCTCAAAATTGTTTCAATATTTCAAAATAAACGAAAGCTTCTATGAGAAGAATGCTGACTTGTGTCCAGACCAAACAATGTGAAAAAGTCTTACTTTAAGAAACATCAGTTGATGGGGCGCCTGGGTGGCTCAGTGGTTAAGCCTCTGCCTTCCGCTCAGGTCATGGTCTCAGAGTCCTAGGATTGAGCCCCACATTGGGCTCTCTGCTCAGCAGGGAGCCTCCCTTCCTCTCTCTCTCTGCCTACCTCTCTGCCTACTTGTGATCTCTGTCTGTCAAATAAATAAATAAAATCTTAAAAAAAAAAAAAAAAAGAAACATCAATTGGAAAAAAAAAAGAAAAAAGAAACATCAGTTGGACATCAGAAAACACTCCTGAAGGGGTCTGAAAACAATTCGATAGGTTATGGGAGAAGTTGCAGATATTAAGAAAAGAAACCTTTTGCCAAAAACCGCTTGTCACAGCACAAAGCGAAGGAGCATCTTCCAGTTCTAGGTGGGGCCATGATTACCGTCTGAATGTTATTATTATTGAGATTGATTCTTTTAAAAGAGAGTTTGAACTTAGACTCTGAGAGAATCAGTTACTTAAGGCCTTCCAACATTCAAGATTCTGAGTTTAGGATGTTCCCATTTTATAAATAATATAAAGTAAAACTGATTTACATGGCAGATAGTAGAAAGGTTAGAACCCTAGTTTAAATGGATTAAAGTGCAGATACAACAACTTGTCTCCAAGATGACACCCAGTGATCCCTGTCTACTGATATTCATATCCTGCATAGGCCCCACCCACTTTGTACCAGGATTGGTCTTTGTGACCAATAGCAAAGAGCAGAAGTAATGTTTCATCACTTAAGCGATTATGTTTTACAAGATTTCCATCTTGAGTGTTTCCTCTTTGTTTCTTTACTCTCCCCTGCCCCCTTTCTATTTCTTTTGGACAATCAAGCTGTAATGTAGTAAGTAGCCCTTTAAGAGGCCCAGGTGGAGCCTAGGAATGAGGCTAATGCCAACAACCAAAGCGGAACTGCTGCCCTCTGTACCTGTGTGAGAGAGCTTGTTAGTGGTGACTTCAGCATCTGTTGAGTTTCTTTCTCTCTCTTTTAAGATTTTATTTTTAAGTAATTTCTACATCCTCCATGGGTCTCGAACTCACAACCCTGAGATCAAGAGTCATATGTTCTACTACAAAGCCAGGCAGGCCGCAATTGAGCCTTCAGATGATTGCATCCCTAGCCAACAGCTTGACCACAACCTTATGAGAGACCTGAACTGGAACCACTCAGCTAAGTGGCTCTCAGATTCCTGACCCTCTGAAACTGAGAGAGGTAATAAATGTTTGTTGTTTTAAGTGGCTACATTTTGGAGTGATTTGTTATGAAGCAATAAATAACTAATACACAGATTATTAAACAATATGTTGAATTAAAATAAGGAAGACTGGGTGGCTCAGTTGATAGGTGTCTGCTTTTTGGCTCGGGTCGTGATCCCGGGGTCTTGGGATGGAGTCCTACATCAGGCCCTTTTTCCTCTGCCTGCCACTCCCCCTGCTTGTTTTCTCTCTCTCTCTCTCTGGCAGATGAATAAGATCTTTAAAAAATAAAATATAAAAAAATAAAATAAGGAAGAATAAACATCTATACCTCCTTGATTTGTTTTAACATATATTCAACAGGATAGAATTTTACAAACCTTGTAATTACCTCTAGGATAATAGACAATATAGTGTATTGGTTAAGAGCATAGCCTCTGGGTATAGCTGTCAACATTCAGTTGCTGACTCCTTCAAGTCCTAGCTTGTAAGGTTGGGCAAGTTTTTAAACTTTGCAAACCTCAATTTTCTAGAAGGTAGTGGTTAGCTCTGTGCCTAGCACATGTTACGTGTGAAAGAAATATTAGCTATAGTTATTATTTTTATTTTGATTATTAACTCTAAAGAATCACCTTAAGAGCTATGTGTTCTCTATAGATTTGGACATTTTTATAGTTATGTGAGCTGAAGCAGTCAGCCCTTACTTGCCCAGAGAAGGCGAAGCCTCCCAAGAAAGGACTCTTCCTTTGGGAAAAGAGAGAGGAGGTCTAGGCTTCAGTATCAGAGTAAAGGATGATTCGGAGGGTCTGCCCATGTTCTGCTGTTGATTTTACAGAGATCATGTACAGTTTTTATGGAATGGGCGCTTTGAGTAAAATCTGAAATAGCTATTTTTGCCAAGATGTCTGTGAGACTTTATTTGCCTTGGCCTCAGAACACCAGAGTGTGACTCAAGGGTGGAAGAACAGGAGTCTGTCCACCTCATCAGACATCCCAAGTGGCATGTCATGACCCATGCATATCAGCGTTTGGGGCCACTAGAGCCTCTGTAGTTGAACTTGGCATAACAGGACTTCAGTTGTCAGTGGGAATGCAGCAGTTTTGTGCCATTTTCCTGCTGTCAATTGTAAATACACTTCAAAATAGTGACAGATAATGTCTTATTTAACCCTGTATGTCTAAAATATTATCATTTTAACATCGAATCAACACAAAATCGTTGTGCCCTCCCAAGATTTATAATATTAATGACAGAGTCCAGATAGAATATTTCCTAATAATATTGGATAGTTATTATAAAATTTAGACTCAATCTTTTCCCTTTTCCCTTAATTTTTCAGTTCAGTGTAATTGTTTACAGAGTAAACTTGTGTATCTATTTCTGATTAAATATTGCAATTTTAGAGATTTTTATGATGAACTATGTGTTTCTTATGAGGTCTCAATGAAATCCTTAACATTATCTCATTAAGACCATTTTATTATTAATATTATTATCGAGGTGATACTTTTTCATCTTTTCTTTTATTAGTATATAAATGGAGCAGAGAAGCTAAATCACTTTCCTATAGGAATGATCCTTTTAAGCAGCAGATTGAACATTCAGTTTATGGAAAGCTAATCCATAATTGAACTGTTATATTCGAATATTCCTTTGTTTTATCTTTTTAAATCTCTTAATAAAGTCTTACTAGGGGCGCCTGGGTGGCTCAGTGGGTTAAGCCGCTGCCTTTGGCTCAGGTCATGATCTCAGGGTCCTGGGATCAAGCCCCGCATCAGGCTCTCTGCTAAGCAGGGAGCCTGCTTCCTCCTCTCTCTCTGCCTGCCTCTCTGCCTGCTTGTGATCTCTCTCTGTGTCAAATAAATAAATAAAATCTTTTAAAAAAATAAATAA